TTTATATAATATACACGAACTGAGCAATAGAGTATATTGCTCAGTTTATTCGTATTGATACATCAAATCAATAAAAATATACGAATTTGTGCATTTTATTTTTTATGGTAAAGATGTGTTTATTATAAAATAAAAGTAAAAGATAATATTCGAAAGAAAAATGAATGCAGAAATTCAATGTCAAAAAGTCGAACTTAACTACGATAAAATACATTTTGAATCAAAACGATCATCTTTAACAATCTATCATTCTATTAACAGCTACATTATTTTGTGAATATTTTGAACACCATACTATGTTTATAAGGAACACAAAATTTAGTTGTCTAGTGACATGAGGAAGTATGTCTAAAAAATGTTTTTGTAATTTTTTTTGACATACTTCATCTTATAACTATACGAATCAGTCATAAATAACATTAAAAACGATTACGACCATTGGGTTAATTTTAAAACTGTTAAATAATTAAAAAAAATTCTCTCTACATGAAAAAATTTTTCTTCTCCTTTTCCTCGCCTTAATCCCAACTATTTGGGATGAAGTACATGAAAAAATATATCCACTAAAATATTTTGTCAAAGTTATTTTTTGTTTACATTATTAATTTTATTCAGATGAATGAATTGAAAAGCAAAATTGGTATATTTAATATTTAGTGTAACAGCAATAGTTTTTTAATCGGGAAGTGTGATAGTTACCATTTGAGGTGATTTTAAAATTTTGTGCTGTATTTTTTTACAATTTTAGTTGTTTGTTACATTTTTTTCCATAGTACATTTGATCGTAGCCGTTAATTTTATATTAATACTTTATTTAAAAACAATTTTTAAATAATTACTTCAGTTATTTTGGTCAAATTCGAAAACAAAAGAAGATCTAGAGGTAAATAAATTTATTATAATAAACATATGTTATTACTTGTGTATTTTCAGGTAAGATCAATTTTATTTTCCATAAATATACATTGGACTATGTATAATTTTGCTTTAAATAATTTCTCAATAACATTATTTTATAATTAGCCACAATATTTGTTGAGAATTATAATATATGAAATTAGTTATTGTTTGTGTTAGTGCTTTAATTTTTTAAAAATGGCCTTTAAAAAAACGTGTCATTTTGTACTTTATAGTTTACAATGTTGAGTGTGCTTATTTCATAATACGTCTGGTGAATAAAACGACACGAGTGTTTTCACGAAAGGCATGAAGGATACACTCCTTCGACTAAAAACTTGCGAATCAAAATGGTGCTATCAATACAAAAAAAAAAAACAATATAACGATAAAAATTTTGTTTAAACTAGTGAAAAAATATTTTGTTTACAGTAAAAATTAATCTTACAAATGTCTAAGAAAATAGTTTTGATGTTTGTAGTAATAACTTAATCCAGTATCTTTTTCGATTACACAATTCATGAAAATAGAGTTTGTCTTAATTTAAAATTAATATTTATTACTTGAGAAGTTATAATATTAAACTCTTATTTATTTTAAAATTATTTTTAAGCGAAAAATATTTTTATAAATGTTGAGAAATACTTTTAGCTTCAATGTGAAACTGAGAAGGTATTAATTTTATTTTTATAATTAAAGTATTTATAGTTAATAGTAAAAATAAGAAAAGCTTATTGTTTCTTGCTGTCAAATTATTTAAATTGTCAAAAGAATATCCTAATAATTTTCTATTTTTTAGAAACATAGCAGTAATGACACCGAGTAAGACATTTAAAAAGATTGTTTTTAGAATTATTTAGTAGCTATAGAAGTAAAGAGATTAATAAATAAGAATAAAACATAATATCAGTTTATTTTTATCCTTATGTGTATTAAAAAGTTAAATTAAATTTTGGATTTAGAAAAAATAAATTATTATTTGCGAATAGTTTTCATTTATGTATGAATGTTTGATGATGCACTTTATCATTTGCATTACATGAAATTATTAAATAAGAGTATAAAACAAATCATAGTATATAATGTGTAATTCAAGCTTTATTGAGAACATTATATATTTCTATAGTTCATTGAACTTAATAGGTTTTAAATATACAATAATTTAATAAAAATTGATCGAAATTATTTATTCATTTGTAATCATTGATGAATAAATGTTCACAAATTTTAATGTATCATTAATAATGTTCAGTATTCATAATTTATTGCAAAAAAATAATTAATAAGATTTTACAATTGTCTAACTAATGCTCTGTTTTCATATTTTTTATAAAAACATTTTCTAGGGCTTAAATTATACATTTTCAACTAAAGCTCAAAGAAATCGCAATATTTAAGTAAGCGTTCATCTTTTTTTCCAACGAAATGCTTTTGAATTTTTCTCATAAGTCTTTGAATGAAATACCATTGGGTTCACCGAACGGCATAAAATAAATGTCTTCACTCTTTTGTTTAGTTTATAAGTAATATTGTTGCATTACATTTTATTTGCTAGTTTTTACTCGTTAAAGAATCGTGAAAATCAAAATAAAATCGGTATCGGTTATAACTTAACTCGGTTATTAATAATAATAAAAACAAAAAAATAATAATTTATTCATAAATTCTATTTCAAATATTACAATTTTAGGAAGGGTCAACCTCTTAATATTTTAACATTGGAGGGCTTAACAATAAATAGAAAATTATTTCTCAACAAAAACCTGCATTGAATAATATTATTTCATGAATTACACAAACTTTCAAGTTGAAATGAGTATTGTTATTTATATTATCTTTGAATTTATAATTAACCATGCCACTTCCTTCTATTACTCTCCATTTTAAAGTACTTATAACCCAATAAATAATAGCACAAAAGTTGTTTTTGACCCATTAATTATTTTTTTTTTTTTGCTTGAACCATTTAGAGGTATAAAGTGGTAGTTATTCATTAAATATCATTTTAATTAAATAGGCGTGCTTGAAAATACTAATAATTAACTAAATTAAATAAAAAAATTTTTTACCATTTTTAACGAATTTAATAAACTGATAACTTACTTATGGTAAAATATTCAGAAAAACGAACACATTATGAGTGAAACACTCAGTTATGTTTTTTAATTTATTAATTACAATACTTAAACATTTTAATTTTTAACAGATTTTCTGCTTTGTGAAGCACATAGAGAAGTATTACGGTATTTAATGTTATGCATTTTTTTAACCATTATTAAACTAAGTTAATCACACTAGTTTATGCAAATCAATATTTAAAGCGAAATAATAAGGCTATTTGAACCTTATTATTTCAATGCTACGATAATATGACTTAGTAAATTTTTATAAGTCTCTAATGATATTGATAAATTATTAATAAAATAACTCTTTAAATGTAAATTCTGTAAGTTACTATATAAAAATATTTTATTCGTTTGAGATCTTATTAGTTATTAAATAATTTATGATTTATATATTAACATAAATTATAAATAGATATTATCTATTTTAAGGCCGATTAATTTTGACATTAGAAAGACGACTTATTCATTGATGATTAAATTTAAAATCGTAAAATAATGTGTGTATATATATATATATATATATATTTAACAAACTAAAATTAGTAATAAATTGTTAATTTTTATTGTACATATCATACAATGAACTTTTCGATAATGTTTTCCTTACATAACTGAACACAATGGATACCTAATAAAACACTTTATAAAATCCATATTTGGAAAATCTAAGAGTTTTTGTATAATTATATCAATTAAATGTTCATGTCAAAAGGAAATAATATTATAAATACAAATGTCACATTATTATATAGATAAGGCGCATCATAAACCAACCAACTTATCAGTAAGTTTAAATCCTTGATTAGAACACAATTTGAATTCATAACCTTGAGCCAATAACAAGTGTTTTAATTTGGAATCTTAATGAATTATTATAAAGTATTATTACAATGAAAGTTCAACAATATTTGGAGCATTATCAATTCGTATTTCAAAATACAATCAAAATTGATTTTATAATATATAAAAAAAAATTAAGCATAATCAAACGAATTTGAAAATAAATTATTGCTTTTAAAAAAAAAAAAACAGTAATTAGGTTTTAATTTGTTAAAAAAGATTACACAGAGGTGTATTTAAAGGAGGTGTTATAGAATTGTGACATTTCTTTTAAACAGTGCTATACATAAATTTTTAGAACAATTGAAGATTACATTTTTTATTTAATGTCATTAAATTTGAAAGTTTGAAATATATATTTGCACGCCAGAGGTCTACTCTCACAAAGCGATTTTTAACAATGACACGAATTACGTCTCAGTAAGAAATCGACACTGGTTTTGATGGTAGAGACTCGTGGGCCGTTTATTATTCATGAGCAACAATAGAATACTTAGAAAAAACAAACACAATTAATAATAATCTTCGCATAATATCGCGGCATGGTCCTCGTACATTATCGACGTTGTCACTTTAACAACGAGAAGAAGACTTAACGTATCATTTAATCGTCGTCAGCCGTACGGAATTTGCTAGACTTTGTACTGTTGCATAAGGAACGTGGTGTTAGTCAATCAAACTATGATACCGACAGTAAGGCGACGGTTGATAAAGGTGGTAGTGATAAGGTGATAACGGGTACGGGACATCATGTATCACAAGCGACGCGGAACCATGAAAACAATAAATTAAGTAAGTCTGCTTTTGAAATTTTTATTAACAAGTCATTTTAAAAAAGAACATTACCTTATTTTCAAAAATAAATTAACTTGTGATAGACAAATATAGTGTACAAACATCTATAATCATTAACTAAAATATTATTATTATCATTATTATTACTATATTTCAATATGAGAAAAATTCATTCTATTAAATGATAAGCAAAAATTATTAGGTAATGAAATCATAATTTTATGACATCCTCCTTAAAATAAATCTGCATACGCTAATTGGTTGTACGAAGTTCAATAGTTTAATAGGATCATAAGCAGAATAAATGAGTAAAACGTCAAATAATTATGCATGAATACTTACGTATTTTTTTAATTTGTCACTCAAAAAGTTTCTGATATCGGTTTTACTTTCAAAAGCTGCCATATCGTCCAATTTTAAAGTAAATTGATACCGGTTATCTGTAATGATAAAACATTTTATGTATAGAAAGTAATTATGAAATTGAATGCTTTTAAACGGATAGGCCTAATTTAAATAATATCAACATAATCACCAATATCAAGTATCACAAGTCACACGAATAAAAAAAATAATGAATAATATGTTATTTTTAGTATCTAGTTATTAAACGTCATTTCGTTATAATAAATCTGTTATCTTAATTTTATGCGTGAGACATAGCGAATAAATCTGTATTATGTTGAAGTTCAATAAATTTTACAATAACTAAACGAGTAGCTGTATTTTTTATTTATTATACTCAGCACACACAACGGGTTAATATACAATAGTAAAATACATAAAAAATTAATTATTTAGAAAAATTAGGAACAATTTAATCAATAAAAATTATAACATTACATGATTTAGTCAAGTGACATAACGGACTATTATTACATCATTTTTAGAAATGAAGAGTACACGAAGGAAAGATTTGTTTCTGGGATTAAAAGCAGGAACTCTAAATCAATTTTTTGATAAGTATTCTGGACAATCAAACATACTGTTTATCAACATGTACAAGAACACTATATCAGAATATTTAGGATAAATAGCTAATAGTACAAGACCAATGCGTATAATAATAACCGAATAAGACATATTTACAAAGTACACTTTATAGTTAAACATATCTATAAATAGTCGTTTTTGTGATTTCCAATTTTTTTTAATTTGTCTGTCTTACAGGGATTCCAAATCACAGACCCAAAATCTAAAATAAACTGAAATAATAAATTTAATTCGATTTTTTTTTTACTTTTTTTTGTATTATTTTAATACTGGCTATTTTATATTAGTTATAGGACGCCAGTGGGGTATATTAATTTTAAAATCAATAACTAAAATATCCTAGAAACAGTAACATGAAGGTTAATAATATATAATTTGATCACGTAGTTTGTATTAATTACAATAAGTAAGAATTATTATTAACTATACAATCAAAATCATGAATTGATTTTATTTATAATACCAAGCATTGTTTAAATAATTTGTTAATTTGAATTTTTCTTATATATTATCTTCACTCATAAAACCTAAGTTTTTTCACAAAACAAAGATTTTATTAAAAATAAAAATAATTACTTTGTATGTACTTATTGTAAATTCATAGTTATTTCCATGTCATTCAAAAGTTTTAAAATAACCATAACCAAGTTCAAGTCATCTTATAGATAAGGTAAAGATATAACCAGGTAGTTATAAAGTTCAATTGCATTATAAAATATACATATAATACTTAAACATGCACGTGGTAGTGTCGTTCAAGTTAACTGGACTTTAAGTTAAATTTCTATTACTATTAATTAATCGCACGGAGAATTAAACTCATAAATGAGTTTTATACATTTCTATTTAGTTAATCCGTATGTAAGCAATTTTTTTTTTTATAATAATAAGTAAGTAATTTAAATTTATAAGAAAAAAACATAGTTAAGTTCAATTTTCTTAAAATGTATGTTTTTAAAATAAGCTCCTCTATCTACATAAATTATAATTTATTCTTATTTAAATTACCTTGTACAGGTATAAAGTAAACACATACAGTAAATTTAGTTCATTTTAAATGTGTTTAATGACTACATTTTTAAATAATCTATGAAGTCTCTAAAATAGTAGAACAATGAAAAATGAAATATTACATTAAAAATGATGCCAATTGGCAAGGCATATTAGAGAATTTAAAATTGCAACTCTCGAAGAAAAATATGAGAGGATAAACTATGAGCATACATTTTTTAATTCTATACATAGATGTGTTAAAATTTAAATACTACGTAGGCTTAAAAGAGTTTAATAGAAAAAAAATAATATAAAACATAAGATTAAATACCTTTTTTTTATTATTATTATCAATTAACAGTTATGAACATTTTTAGTAAAAAAAAATTTCTAACTTAAGTTAGTTTAATTTTTATTTCTGATGAATTAATCTATTTTGAATTTGTGTAATGAAAAAAACAGATGTACAGAAAAAAATTAACCTTCGAGATAATTATCAGTTTAGTTTAAAAATTAACTAAAAATAACACATTTTATTTCTCAACCTTTATTACGAATTGTTTGGATTATGTCTATAATAGAATTTAAAATAAAATAATATAATTAAAAACATAAGAGCATTTTGTACAAATTATATTCAAAAAGTGATAAAATTCAAATTTGTGAATTACGACTTCTAGAAATGTATCTATAGTTAAAACATATTTTTAACGCATAATAGCTGAAAGTAAGTTATTCTGAAATTAGATTTTGCTTTTATCCTTAGTCGAAATTACATAAAACAATGGTAAAATCAACCATCTTCAACATTATGGGCTAGTTTTTATAAATTAATAAATAATACATTTTTATTGAATTGAATAATATAAAATAAGCATGATTATGTATATAATTTTAATATTAGTTTATATAGTCAAATTATTAAATCACGGTAAAACGCTGTATATTATGAATAATGAATAGTTATTAAAAGTTTCTCTGCGCAAATTAAATTTTTATGTATTGAGTACATGCATTTAAATTTTTTAACTGATTTATTCAATGATTAAAAAAGTGTTTATTTTTATAATTCAATTTAATAACTTCAATTTAATTATAACTAATATTTTTTTTAAATATTTTATTTATAAAAGTATTATTTTTGATAAATTAATAAATTGATGCATGTAATTTAGTATTTAAAGAATTTTAAACTAATATATTAAGTAATATATGCAATCGGTTAAAAAATTATAACCATAAAAAAACGGTAGCACAGTGAAGACGTGGCAAAGTTAAAGGATCAGATTTTCAAAATGTTATAGCAGTTTTAAGTAAAAAATTTCGAAAATTACCAATTTTTATGGGAATTTCCCCCATTTACGGGGAACCAAGGAATTTTTTTTTCAATTTTTGAGTAATGTCTTTCACTAGATACGAATTGTGTTTTTTCGTATCATTAAAAGAAATTAGTTCGGTGAGAACTAAGAAAAAGTGGAAAAAGACCAAAAAAATTAACATATCATAGTAAAATTAATACCTTCTCAGCTACGATAGAGAAATTATTAAAACTTAAATATATGAAATGTCCATTAAAAAAACTTAAATATATATATATATATTTTATACTAACTATAGTTGATACAATATTATTCGTTAGCTACATTTATTGATGCATACCATATAAGATAATTTCTCCGATTTTCCTGATATTTCTTAATACAAAATTTTACTTCGTTTTAGAAATACTGAACACATTTGCACTAAACCAATAAGAATACGTGCAAATAACTCATCCAAATGTTTTATAAAAGCCAATGTACTAAGTTTCTTTTATTCTCAAACAGTACAATATATTTTTAACTTAATTTTGTTGTTTCAAACTTTGGCCCACTAGTAACACACCAAAAATTTACTCGGTAGGTTTCAATTCAAAAAGATAGCGTTTTTGCCCTTAAGTTTTTCGCGGTAATGATATCTTGTTTGTTTTTCGCCTTCAAAGTTTTTCGTACAAGTTGACCAAACAATATTCATCAGTGACTCGTTCACAAGATACCATTTAGAAATATTATAAGTAACCCTAAAATGTAAGAAGTTGGACACTTTTGCAACTCTAATTGGATTTGTACCGTAAACATGTACGACTAATATAAAGCACTAAGTGAAGAAGTTTAAAATATATCAACTGAGTTTAATTTAATCTCAATTTAAGAATCGAGGTATTTAAATATTGTTTGACTGTATAATTTAATGAGAAACACGTAATGTAGTTATAATAAGTTGAAACAACTTTGTAACAATAAAATATCGTCGATGTTAACTTTTATTATTGATAAAATTAGATGTGATTTATTCATTTAATGGGTGTTACTTAGTAAAATTCCGTGTAGTTTTATAAACATTCTGGCTGATAATATTTTTGGGACATTTTTAGCACTTTAATTAAACATGTTTGCGAACAATGTAATGACCTAATCAATCTAAAAGCCTTTATGAACTATTTTGTGCTTCATTTCACTTTTATTTACAAAGAAAATTCTATTGAACTTTCTGAACTTTATATTTGTTGCTATTGTTGATTTTTTTTTATAGAACCAATCAAATTTTATTAAAGTAATTGCTTTAATGAAAAAATTTCATAAAACCTCCAAAAAGCTTATTTCTGTTTCAAATAGTCTAATTTAATAGTCGTCTTACTTAGTAGACGAATAACAACATTTTCTTGATCCATATAGTAAAATTAGAATTTTTAAAATAAAGAAAAATATTTTCTATGATAATAAAAAATGAACTACAACAAGGTCTTACGATGGATTTATAATAATAAAATATGAAACAAACTTGTGGATGATGCAAGTAAAAATCAAATTTAAAGCAAATAAAACTTTAAAATCAGTAGTTTAGAATAAAATATTTATTTAAACAAAAATATAAATTTATTTTATCGAAAATTTTGAGAATATTTTATTGTTTGTATCCAATCTACTCCATGAAAAACTATATTATTATACCAAGTAATTAATTTATTGTTAACCACATAATTACCATTTTTTATTAAATGACAAATTAATCCCTCTGTACATTTTAAAAACGTTTTCGAATATTGTAAAATAATTTATTGTACATTTAAAAATGTTCCTTAACTAAGTAGTTAACATGAAATTCAGAAAACGAGATTTTTTTTAATCTAGCAACATCAGCATAGTAGTTAGTTTTGATGTATAATATGATGATAGTTATCTTCTACATAGTGTATAAAGTAGCATTATTATTGATCTGGTACAGCTCAGGAATCTCAAGTCGAGCCCATCAAAAACATAGATATACATCAACAATACGTTATAATAACGTTTGCTATCATTATAATACTATCAGGCAAAACAGTTGTTGCTAGATATTTGTAACGAATTTAACACTGTGCTGTGAATATTCAATGTAATAAATATATTTACATAACTAGACGATCAAAAAATAA